TAAGGCAGCATGACCTCTTCAAGTATTCTGATGTATTCAAACTGATCCATGATCCCTGGTATGCGATAAATAGGCGCAACACCGTAGTATGAGAAACATCCCCATATCATGATGCTTGCGCAACCATGCTTCATCCTTCACAGTGCACTGTGGCTTGAATTCAGTGTTTGGGGGTCATCTGACAAACTGTCTCTGGCCACTAGACCCAAAAAGAACAATCTTACTTTCATCAGTCCACAAAATGTTGCGCCATTTCTCTTTAGGCCCGTCAATGTGCTCTTCGGCAAATTGTAACCTCTTCAGCACGTCTTTTTTTCAACAGTTGGACTTTGCGGGGGCTTCTTGCAGATAGCTTGGCTTCACATAGGCGTCTTCTAATTGTAACAGTACTCACAGGTAACTTTAGACCACCTTTTGATCTTCCAGGAGCTGATTGTTGGCTGAGTCCTTGCCATTTTCGTTATTCTTCTATCCATTCAAATGGTAGTTTTTCGCTTTTTCTTCCACATCTTTCAGGTTATCGTTGCCATTTTAAAGCATTTGCGATCATTTTAGCTGAGCAGCCTATCATTTTCTGCACTTCTTTATATGTTTTTCCCTCTCCAACTTTTTAATCAAGGTACGCTGTTCTTCTGAACAATGTCTGGAACGAGCCATTTTCCTCAGAATTTCAGAGAGAAATGCGCTGTAACCAGCATGTACAACGTTTTACTGCCTTCCTTCCTTAAATAAGGGCAAAAATTGCCACCTGTTTTTCAAAGAATGAATGACCTCACTAATAGAACTCCACACTGCTATTATTTTGAACATGCCCCTTTCAATTAGTGATTCAATTACACAGAATCAGCAGCATGCATGTCATGACTGTTGGGTCTGTTGGATTTCTATTACTCTACTACACCTGCTAGTAAATTATTTGCCATGTAGAAATATCATTTCCACCAAAAACCGTGATTGATCAGGTTAGTCTGACTGCTATTATTTTGAACACAACTGTATATATATGTGTGTGTGTGTATATTGCGCAAAAAAAAATGAAAGGAACACTTTAGCATCACGTCAAAACTCCTGGGGTGTTGATATGGTCAGTTAAGTAGCAGAGAGGGGTTGTTAATCATGTTCATCTGCTTTGGTGTTAATGAAATTATCAACAGGTGCACTAGATGGGCAAAAAAATGAAACTACCCCCAAAACAGGAATGGTTTTACAGGTGGAGGCCACTGACATTTTTATCCCTACTCATCTTTTCTGACTTTTTTTCACTAGTTTTGCATTTGGGTAGGATCAGTGTCACTACTGGTAGCATGAGGTGATACCTGGACCCTACAGAGGTTGAACAGACAGTCCAACTACTCCAAGATGGCACATCAATACATGCCATTTCCAGAAGGTTTGCTGTGTCTTCCAGCTCAGTCTCAAGAGCATGAAGGAGATTCCAGGAGACAGGCAGTTACTTAAGGAGAGCTGTTCAGGCCAGTAGAAGGTCCTTAACCCATCAGCAGGACCAATATTTGCTCCTTTTGTGGAGGAACAGGATGAACGATGCTAGAGCCCTACAAAATTACCTCTAGCAGGCCACTGATGTGAATGTCTTTGACCAAACAATCAGAAACAGACTTCATGAAATTGGCTTGAGAGCCCGATGTCCTCTAGTGGGCCATGTGCTCACTGCCCGGCACCATAGAGCTCGATCAGCCATTTAACACCAGAATTGGTAGGTCCGCCACTGGCATCCTGTGCTTTTCACAGATGAGAGCAGGTTCACCCTGAGCACATGTGACAGACCTGAAAAGGTCTGGAGAAGCTGCGGAGAACATTATGCTGTCTGTAACATCATTCAGCATGACCATTTTGGTGGTGGGTCAGTGATGGTCTGGAGAGGCATATCCATGGAGGGACACAAAGACCTCTACAGGCTAGAAAATGGCACCCTGACTGCCATTATTTATCAGGATGAAATCCTTGGACCCATTGTCAGACCCTACGCTGGTGCAGTGGGTCCTGGGTTCCTCCTGGTTCACAAGAATTCCCGGCCTCATGTGATGAGAGTATGCAAGCAGTTCCTGGAGGATGAAGGAATTGATACCATTAAATGGCCCCCACGCTTGCCTGACCTAAATCCAATAGAACACCTCTGGGATATCATGTTTTGGTCCATCCGACACCGCCAGGTTGCACCTCAGACTGTCCAGGAGCTCAGTGATGCCCTGGTCCAGATCTGAGAGGAAATACCCCAGGACACCATCTGTTGTCTCATTAGATGTATGCCCCAATGTTGTCAGGCATGCATACAAGCACGCGGGGGCAATACAAACTACTGAGAACCATTTTGAGTTGCTGCAATGAGATTTCAGCAAAATGGACTACCCTGCTGCATAATTTTTTTCACTTTGATTTTCAGAGTGTCAGTCCTCTGTAGGTTAATAATTTTGATTTCCATCATCCTATGGGGCATTCTTGCGCTCCTAACACATTGCCCAGTCCAAATCCGTATAGATATCCAGCATATTTTCCCCATTGAGTTCTTGTGTGTTTTCAAAATGTTCCTTTTACTTTTTTGAGGTGTGTGTATGTGTGTGTGTGTGTGTGTGTGTGTGTATATGTGTGTGTGTATATATATATATATATACACACACACACACACACACACACACACACACACACACGTGTATGTGTTATTATTGCTGATTCAGTAGACCCTTAGCTGAAATGCAAAAATTGCTCTGTTTCTATAAGGGCTATACAGGTGTGAATGCTGAGGTGACAGTGAAGATATCAATGTGACAAAAGGTTGAGGGATAAAAGCTCCACTAGCATGTCCAGGTTCAGTTTTATTTGTGTTCAGTAAAATCATCCAACACATTTCATGGTCTTTGAAGATTTCTCTTCATTTGGATGGCATAGTTACCTGTTCCAGCTCGGGATCATCTGCCAAACTCAAGCTGGAGCAAGCAACATTTAGCCCTGTCTCCAAGGGGGACCTTCGAAGCACAAATAAAATGTATTCTTAACACATACTAATGGAGTGACATTTTTATCCCTCAACTTTTTCCCACATTTGTATAAGGCCAAAACCAAAGGCTGCTTAGAATTTGAGAGCTGCCTACAAATTTCCCAACAACCATCAGAATACATACTAGAAGTATCAGCACACCTGATGGTTTAGCACTGCTCCTTACTACAAAGCAAAGATATTAAAGCTAAGGACAGATGTCACTGGATTACTAATTGTATCACTATTGACATGTCTTTCACAGTTATATATTTCCCCTATGTTTGATCGCTTTAAACAAACTGAAAATACAGAAATATAACAGTTGATCTTTATCATAATTATATGTGTGTTCCTACCTTTCTGTTTTGCTATCAACACAGTCCCTGAAAACCATAAAGAGTGTCATAAACACTCAGATTTCTGTTTGACCACAATTGACCAAGCTCTGGACAGATTCACACACCTGTCAGAAACAGCCACTATACATAAATATGTTGCATGGAGGCCAATACTGAGGTCACTGTCCATATTGGTAACTCCTTAGTTTTGAGCGCCCTCACACAGAGGGGCACATGGCCAAGGGGTTTTGTTGTGGGGTAGGTGGAGCCTGAGGGTAACTGTAAGAGAATAGTTTCCTCTTAGGACCACCTTGCTTGTGATTAACAGCAGATGGCAGTGGGCTTATTCTTTAGCAACTGTTCAGACCAACAGCAGCTATGAAATTTGCCAACTGCCATCTTCTGTCAATCACAGGCAAAGTGAACCTGATGGAGAACTAGTCTCTCAGAGTTCCTCATCAGGCCCTTCCCACACAACATGGCTATGGAATTAAGTTCTGTGAGTGGAGCCTGATTGGGAACTTTGAGACTAGTTCCACATCAGGTCCACTTTCCATGTGATTGACAATGGACGGCAGTGGGAAGATTCCGTAGCCATTATTCAGGCTATGAAATCTGTTTACTGCCATCTACACTCAATCACAGGCAAAGCAGATCTGATGGGGAACTATTCCTTAAGTTCCACCTCAGGCTTTTTCCATCCACTCCTCACCCAACAGGCTCATTGAACGTGGGGTTTTTGTTTGTGGGGGGCTTTATGGGGAACTCTGGGAGACTAGTTCCTCATCAGGTTCACCTCCTGTGTGATTGAAATCCAACCACTGCCATGCACTGTCAATCACAAGAAGGTGGACCTGATGGGTAGTCTTTCAGCATACCCATCAGGCTGTGCCAACTGTCGTTGTTCAGCCCACATCATTGGTTGCTAGGGCACCTTGCAACCAATGATGTAATTACAAAATGGGGAACTTATTTTTTAATTTGTTACAGTCATAATGACTTATTGGGGCTGATTTACTAAAACTGGAGAGTGCAAACTCTGGTGCAGCTCTCCATAGAAACCAGTCACCTTCCAGTGTTTTTGTCAAAGCTTTATTGAACAATCTGAAGTTAGAAGCTGATTGGCTACCATGCACAGCTGCACCAGATTTGAACTCATGTTTTAGTATCGGCTCCATTGTAAAAGTAACACAGATAAGAAATACATGGACCTATTGTCTGTGTCAGAACTGTTGCAATGCTTCCATGAATTTGGCAAAAGCAATTTTAAAGGGGCTGTGATAAAAGAAAAGTGTGCTTTATTGAATTCCCCCCAGTGTGTCTAAATTTCTAAAATTCTAAGCATGTGGTGTCAGCCCTGCCTACTTCTTATCTATGAATAACAAAGGACACAGCCGTCTTTTTATCTCCCCACCCATCTTTTCTCCTCTCTGTAACCCCTCTCTGTGCATAGGAAGTTATCAGCTCCCAAGATTTCTGGCAGAATCAACAGGTATTTGTTGCAATGTTTGATCAGATATAGCAACACTCTTTCAATTATAAATTTTCATACCAAGACAGCAAATAAGAGAAATTTGTGTTTACATACACGTCATGTGCGTATTTGGTCATCTCCCAGCTTGTGAAAGCTTGTCACACTAAAGTGTTTTGATTTATTTTTGTTTTAGATTTCTGTTGAGGAAATGGATCGGAACTTGGTGATCAAAGTTAATAAGGATGCAGTAATGAAAATAGCTGTTTCTGGAGATCTGTTTACTTTTGACAGAGGACTATACCAACTAAATTTGACAGTGGGAGGAATTCCGTTTAAAAGCAGTGAGCTCATTCAGTTAGTAAGTGTCACCCAAAGGAGTGTTTTATTTTATTTATTCAGCATGCAGTAGGCGCTAATCGAGTAAACATTATAACTGATTCAAAATGACGTGTAAGCATAATAACTGATTCAAAATGACATGTAAGCATAAAATACCAGAACAGTCCAACACAACGTGTAACAGACCCTACTTGTGAATATGACCAGGACATATTACTTTCTGAGAAATGTTTTTAACATTTACATACTTTCAGATTAACACACGACTGGATGGCTGCATGCGTGGCTGGAACTGGCTGAATGAGGAAGACACATCAATACAAGACACTGTGCGGACACAAGAAAAGATGCAGTGCTTTGTGGTGGCTGGAAGAGGCTCTTTTTATCCAGGAAGAGGGTTTGCTCTTTTCTTCATTGATTACAGTAAGTAAGACAGTACATAAACTGTTACTGAAAGCAGACATGAACTAGGCAGTATAACATATGGACAGAAGGCTCTGTGTGTATGTAACATTTCATCCCCACTACATATTTGAACAGGTTTGTTTTGGTTATGAAATGTCTGTCCATTGTTGCTATCCTGACAAAAAAAACATGTCTGTGAAACTGTGAGGTCCAGCTGTAGAAAAAGTCCCTTGTGATTTTATTCATTTAGCTGTATTTTTTAGCTGATGGTCATAGGATAAGCACCGTTAAAGCTGAATGCCAGAAAAGTCTTCCTTTGCAGTGGGGCTATGTCTGCACTGCAGGGGTTAACTGCTTGTTTATGCCTAGGGGACCATGGAAAACACTATTACTTAACTGAATCTTGGCTCCCACAAATTCCTCCATGCTTTTAGACCAGTTCCTTTACTCCGATGTGCTAAGGTTTTCAAATATCTTCAAGACCAATGCTGGGGCCATAGCCCTGCATTGGAAGTGAGGTCTCCAAGGGACAGTCCACTGCTGGAATTGGGGGGGAGAGTCCACTGCTGGAATTGGGGGGGGAGGGTGTTCCATTTGCCAGGGGAATGGAGGATCAGGTAAGTAACAGTGCTCCTTCTGTCTCCTAGACTACACAAGCAGTAGACCCTTGCAGTCTGGATGCAACCCTACTGAGAAAAAGGACTTTTCACTTTTCTGGAGTTTAGCTTTAAATGACTTGCCCCCTGGAAAATCAACATATTCTATACCATTGTATTTCAGCCCCTGTTTTAGATGGCCAATAGTACAGCATGTTTTTAAATCTGTTCAGAAATCCAGTGGGTATATTTTTCTTTGGACTTTTTTGTAGTTGTCCTTAGGCATGTAACAGTAATTTCACACAATCATTTAACATGTTGTCTCTTTTAACATATGTACATTCAGATATTATTTTAGCTATATTATATAATATTATATGAAAACAGTCTTTCAATTTGTCCTTGCCTGGGATTTTTTGTTTGATTCACACTTTCCTCAGCTATTTTTTTTTTCAATGAGGCCTCATTCCCACCCAGTTATTTCTCTTTTATAACCTTGGGTTAAGTTGACTTACAGAAGATAAATTGGGAGAAAATCAATTATGATTTACCACTAATTCTATTTTCCAGAATCTTCTATAATTACAGTGCCTTGAAAAAGTATTCATACCCCTTGACATTTTCCACATTTTGTCATGTTACAACCAAAAAAACCCGTGTGTAATTTAATCTCAGTTTAAATACAGCTGTTCTGTGAAGCCCTCAGATGTTTGTTAAAGAACATTAGTGAACAAACAGCATAATGGAGGCCAAGGAACACACCAGACAGGTCAGGGATAAATTTGTGGAGACGTTAAAGCAGGGTTAGGTTATAAACAAATATCCCAAGGTTTGAACATCTCACGGAGTACTGTTCAATCCATCATCTGAAAATGGAAAGAGTAAGGCACAACTGCAAACCTATCAAGACGTGGCCACCCACCTAAACTGACAGGCCATGCAAAGAGCATTAGTCAGAGCAGCAGCCAAGAGGCCCATGATAACTGGAGGAGCTGCATACTTCCACAGTTCAGGTAGGGGTATCTGACCACAGGACAACTATTAGTTGTGCACTCCACAAATCTGGCCTTTATGAAAGAGTGGCAAGAAGAAAGCCATTGTTGAAAGAGAGCCATAAGCAGTCCAGTTTGAAGCTTGTGAGAAGCCTTGGGGGGGGGGGGACACGGCAAACATGTGGAAGAAGGTGGTGTTCTGGTCAGAGGAGATCAAAATTGAACTTTTTGTCCTAAAAGCAAAACGCTGTGTGTGGCGGAAAAATAACACAGCATATCACCCTGAACACACCATCCCCACCATGAAACGTGCTGGTGGAGTGGGAGCATCATGTTGTGGGGATGCTTTTCTTCAGCAGGGACAGGAAGCAGGTCAGAATTGGTGGGAAGATGGATGGAGCCAAATACAGGGCAATCTTAGAAGAAAACCTGTTAGAGTCTGCAAAAGACTTGAGACTGGGGTGGAGGTTCACCTTCCAGCAGGACAACGACCCGAAACATACAGCCAGAGCTACAATGGAATGGTTTAGATCAAAGCATATTCATGTGTTAGAATGGCCCAGTTAAATTCCAGCCCTAAATCCACATGAGAATCTGTGACAAGACTTGAAAATCGCTGTTCACAGATGCTCTCCATCCAATCTGACAGAGCTTGAGATATTTTGCAAAGAAGAATGGGCAAAAATGTCACTCTATAGATGTGCAAAACTGGTAGAGACATCCCCAAAAAGACTTGCAGCTGTTATTGCAGTGAAAGGTGAATCTACAAAGGATTGACTCAGGGGGGTTGAATACAAATGCACACCACACTTTTCACATATTTATTTGTAAAAAATTTTTAAAAAACCATTTATCATTTTCCTTCACAGTTATATGCTACTTTGTGTTGGTCTATCACACAAAATTCCAATAAAATATATTTACATTTTTGGTTGTAACATGACAAAATGTGGAAAATTTCAAGGGGCATGAATAATTTCTCAAGGCACTGTACATCCTTGATAAGTCCTTCCATGTGCTATATTTTCTTTTTTTGATCTGTTTTATTACAGTGAAAATACAGTTTGTTGCTTTTGAAATCACGGTGTACAGTAGGTGTGGTTTGAAACGGCTTTTTTTTTTTTTTTTTTTTTTTTTATTCTATCATGTCAGGATCATTTTTCAGGTTTAGATTTCTCAGTGGAGGATTCCCAGAAATAAATTACTACTGTGCCCTAAAGTGACATTAAATTCTGGTTTAACCACTTCATGTCCAGACACTTTTACCCCTTTCCTCTCCAGGCCAGTTTTCAGCTTTCAGTGCTGTCACACTTTGAATGACAATTGCGTGGTCATGCAACACTGTACCCATGTGAATTGTTCAGCATTTTTTTTGATACAGATAAAACTTTATTTTGGTGGTATTCACCACTTGGGTTTTTATTTTTTTGCTATATAAATGAAAACATCCAAATAATTTGAAAAAGTGTATTTCTCATAAACGTTTGCAAATAAATAATCTTTCTTCATAAATCTTGGCCAAAATGTATTTAATTTTTCAAAAAAAATTTTTTACATTTTTATTTTATTTTTTTATATATTTTTTTAACATACTGTCACCCTAGCAGTACAGTGTCACCATAGTGGGGGGTGATGAAGAATTTTTTTTTTTACACTGATTGCTTTTACACCCATAAAGGCTGTAAAAGCAATAATTTCTCCTTCTCTCTGGCTGCATTCTTGCAGCCATTGAGAAATACTGTGTGAGCTGTGATTAGTCACAGCTTGTCACATGGTACAAGGCTGTTGTGAATAGCATTGTACCATGTGACCTCTGTGATCATTCACAGATTTCACACATAGTAAGCAATGATGTCAGAAGTGACATCTTGCTTACACCTATTCATGTGATCACTGATTGACCAATCAGTGATCACTTGATCGGGACCTCACACAGAGGTCCCGTACAGTGATTGGTGTTCCACTGTGTCCTCCGGAGCTCCCTCCCAGTCCAAAATGGCGGGTGCCGTTTATGAACGGCAACCCGCCCCTGCACTGCCACCGTCCAGCCGTTTATATGTAAAAAAAAAACTCAATTCAAGTATGTGTTACTCAAAAAAAGTACCTCTCCAACAAATGTTCATTGTCTATTGTCCCACTGTAATAGAGTAGCCACCCTTTCTTTTCCACTCCTGGGATAGACTAGGGACTATGAGATTTGTAGTGTCCATAGAACAGTGCACATGATCGCAATGAATGTGCACTGCTCATTTCAAACAAATGGAAATGAGGGGAAAAGGAGAGGTTTGAGAGCTCACAGGAAGTTACAAGGAGGCATAAAAACACAAATGATTTCATGAAAATTAGACTACAGACATTTTGTAGTAGTGATGTGTGTGGATTATTTTTTTAAAAATAAGGATATCTTTTAATGTCACTTTTTAATTCTGTTTCTATTGTGCTCATTTTGCTCTTACTGCTGGTAAAATGAATAATGTATATGCAAGTTTCTTTAATAATATCACAGTATCCAGTGTTGCCAATTTGTTTTGTGTACGGAAAAAAGGATATACTTGAAATGCTGTAATATATATAATCTGATATGTCATCTACAATTAATAGGCTTTTAAATACAGTGTTATATTCCCAGATGTGTAATTTTCTTCTTCATATTTACTCTAGCGGATCTATCTAATAAACAGGAAGATGTGCCAACCTGGAGAATAGACATCAATGCAGCGATAAATCCAGCCACTGATACTGGAGTGCTCTTTGCTCTTGTGTCAAAGGACAAGGAAGTCCCTTTGTCACTAGCTCTAATTGATTATCATTTCGCAACCAGAATTAAAACGCAGGTAAGAAGTATTGTACCTGGTTCACAGGGCACTGGCTAATAGTTCTGCCAATTTCCACTCCCTATTCTGTTATGTTATAAAGTATTAGTTAAGAATCTGAATCAGCACCTTTAATTTGTAATACTGCAGCCCCATCTCTCAGGGATAGGTATGTGTCTTGTTATTCACTTCCTATGTTTCTGGAAAAGCAGAAGTATCCCAGTGTTGGACTGTAGGGCTTCATTAACACCAGCGATTAAGAGCCTCAGCAGGATTTAAAAGATTCTTGTCGCTATAATTCAATTCGCACCTTAATCGCCGGTGTGAATGTAGCCTAAAGCCCACATGGAGGTTAAAATATTTCCTACCGGAGTTTCTGCATAATAACTGACACTCCTCCTGAGCTGCTGGAGGTAAAATTGACAGTTTAATAAAGCTTTTAGTTTGCAGCACCTTTGTGATAACCGTTTAATTTGCCTGTAAGGATGAGATTGGGTTTTGTCAGAATGAACATGTAGATGCAGTGTAGGGAATGCCCTGGTTGCAGTTGATTGGGAGGTCGTGGAGAGGAGTGACAGCTTCTTGCTAGGTTTGATCTGAACCCAAGTTTGGACAAAACTGAATTTGGGCTCAGATCAAGTGTCCATTTTTTTTTTCTTTTGAAGTGGTTGTAAACCACAGTTAAGTAAAAATGAACAAAGCATAGCCCTCTATCATGTGTACTTGCCTCAATGCAGAGCACTAAATATAATTTCTGTCTGCTGCCTCATTCTTTTGATATCTGCATGAGTCACGTCTGACAAGTTTTCCTGACACCAAGAGAAAAATAATGACGGGAGGGCACAGCCCATGATTGACAGCCTCAGCTCTGCTTCTGTGTGCTGTGTGAAGGGATGAGACTACCTACTGATTTTCAGAGATGGGAGATCCAGTGTAAATTTTGCACTTTGAATAGAGGGGAATACAGCTGTAGATAGACTGGTACAGCTTATGTAGGATGATTTGTTTCATCTCTGTGTATCACTTGAGGCCAGTTACTTCACTGGGTTTATGGAGGGGTTTACAACCACTTTAATGAAGAAGTCTGCATGTATGTGTACAGGGGTTAGACAAAAAAATGGAAACTCTACATGATTTGCAGGTGTAAAAGTGTTGACATGTTTTCGTGTTGAAAGTGGAAGTGATGTAACATTTTTTTGCTTCCACACTGTGAGGGGACACCTAGCTAACAGGTGGGAAACCTCACTTTCGTCATTCACTGTGTGCGTTGCTAGTAATACGGAGTCATGCCAGAGCGTAATGATCTTCAAAGAGGGCAAATTGTTTGTGCCCGCTTAGCTGGTGTCTCTGTGACAGAAGTTGCCATCTTATTTGCCATGTCATGAGGTACAGTATTAGAGGTTATGATGTTATATACAGTTTCCAGGAAAACATCACCTGATAAACCTAAGCACAGTCAACATGGTCAACTGACCGAAAAGAGACAAAAGGATTGTGACCCGGAATGAAAAAAACAACTGCTGCAAAAGTGACTGCAGATCTCAATCTCAGTCTCGTGAAGACTGAGATTGAGCTGTGCAGTCACTTTTGCAGAAGTTGTTTTCTAATTCCATTCTATGCATGAAAGTAAAAAAAAAACATTGTGTGCTGCACTGTTGTGAATTTCAGCCAGGTCCAGGTTAACTGAATGAAAATTACTTAGTGGGTGACTCTGCTGGCCCTTCTCTGTTGCACAAAAATCAAACATTCCACTGACTTTTGTGGAAAGAGCCTGCTGGAAAGTTTTTTGCTGAACAGCCACTGCATCCAATCAGATGCAGTTGTTTGGGTATTTTGATAGCAGGAGTTGCCAGTTGTCAAAATACAATAGCTGCAGCAGGATATTTGGTCATCTGGACTGTATAACATTAAAGTGTTACTAAACCCAGGACCCTGCATTCACTATATCTGGTCTCCCACAGTACACAGATCATGGAAGTGCAATTATTTTAGTAAATATAAACTGCTAAATACCTTTTCTCATCAGCAGTTAGAGCAGTCTTGTGACTTCAGCAGAGCACTGGTTAAAGCTTGTAGGAGCAGTTTTCTTACTGCTCTTGGAGGATGGGAAACCCCTGACCTCTGTCTGGAGAGTACTGATTGTCCCTGTGTTGATCACATGCACTCTCCCAAGAAAAAAAAAAAAAAAAAAACTGTAGAAAAACGGACTAAACTGAGCATGTGCAGAAGGGCTACGGGTTCAGTCTGTCTTATCAATGTGGACATTTGAACAAGAGAAGGGGCAGAGAAGTCAGGATCAAACAGCCTTTTTACTCAATGCAGAGGATTAACCCCTTAGGTTCCACAATGAATATAACAAGCATGCTTTAATGCATATACAGACTGATTTTACGGTTGTGGGTTTAGTAATACTTTAATAGAGGAATCAGTGTTTGCTTTTTGTATAGGCATGTCATTGGTGCCACACAAAAAGGACATTAGGCACATATGTTACACCTCTCATAGGTTCTAACATAAGAATGTACTTAAGAGACTAACCATTGCTGTAAACAGAGTCCCCTTTTTGGCATCCCAAAAAAGAAAAATGAAAAGAGGGTAGAGGATAGCGAGATAAAAAAAACAAATTATAAGACAACCTGTGACAAAATATGATTGATTGAAAACATAATAAATTGGCATAGTTTTAGAACATTGGAAACCACACACTGTGAGGTAGGAAAAAAAACCACAGGTATCGCACAGATAATGGCTGGCTTCTTTCTATCATATTGAATCACATACTGTATTAACACAAATGTTTGTCATTGCTATGTCTTCATTCAGGAAAATTCATAAGGAGAGGGAAGGAAATATTCAAAGAGTACATGGTTAATTCAAAGGCATTTATCCAACGTTTTTGTGCTTCACGGAAGCCTGGATCCAAGTGTGGTATCCACATTAACTTTGAGTAAAATAGCAGGATCCAGTGTTGAATTAAACTTGAGACCCCAAATTACCTATCGTGGATATTTTTTATTTTATAAGGACAGTGTATCAGTTTAGCTGTATGGTAATCTATATATTTACTAGCAATTATTGCCTTGTTGGTGCAGACATAATAACATGCAGTTAGCCATATGATACCTTGTGGAAGCTGTCCTAAATTTTGGCCAAGACAGCAGTGTGTAAACACAGCTTGGTGTGAGACATTCTCTTCTAGCTGTTACTTGGACAGTCATGCAGTAACCTAGAGAGATGGATGATATAGTATTACTGACGCAGGTTAGCTGAGGATACACTTCAACACTGACAACTGATTTGTTGCCTTAACTCCATTTTGCAGTTCATCATCCTGTCTGTAGGAAATGTTGTCGTGTGTCGATTAGAGGTAAATGTCTGTGATAAAGAGCACATCGTGGAGGTCTCTGCAAGCAAGGATCACATAGTCCTTTCCTTTGATGGAGAGCCAGGACAAACAGAATTGCAGGAATCCGAATTACAACTCATTCTTTCTGACTTAAATGAACACTTGCAGCAAGGAGTAAATACCTATATTGGAGGATTACCAGGTGAATGTTTCATTATGATCTATATTTTTGTATTTGTGCAGGTGTATTTTTGATTCAGAAATAGTTTTGTAAATTTTAAGGGAATAATTGTAATAAATGAACCAAATTCTACCAAGCTAGTCACATCTTTGGAGATTTTTTGTTTTTCCTTTCTGGCTTACAAGGTGGGTGTGTCGAAATAGTCAATGGGATATCAGGGAGATGTCACTTTTTTATTTTGTAGTTCAATATTTCATGAACTTTGAGTATGCAGTTCATGTTTGGGGAGTATGCAGTTTAGTTGTAATCACCAATCCACAAGAAGGATGTACTTAAACTGCAGAGAATCCAGAGAAGGGAAGCAAAACTAATAAGGGGGTTGGAGGATTCACATATGAGGAACAACTACAAACATTAAAGTGTTACTAAACCCAGGATCCTGCGGTCACTATATATTCTATATTATATTTTATATATATATATATATATATATATATATTTCTCCCACAGTACACACTATGTATTCTCCCACAGTAGTACACACTATGTATTCTCCCACAGTACACACTATGTATTCTCCCACAGTACACAGAACATGGAGGTGCAATTATTTTAGTAAATATAAACTGCTAAATACCTTTTCTCATCAGCAGTTAGAGGAGACTTGTGACTTCTATCAACGTCCAGCAGAGCACTGGTTAAAGCTTGTAGGAGGAGTTTTCATTTTGCTTTAGGAGGATGCAGAACCCCCGACCTCTGTCTGGACTATGCTGATTGGCCCTGTGCTGATCGGCCCTGTGCTAATCACATGCACTCTCCCAAGAACAATAAAAAACCTCTCTGCACATGCTCAGTTTGGTGTATATTGCTAGAGTTTCTCCACATGATATGTCTTATCAGGAGATAAGAGGGGGACACTAGAAGAAGGGGAGGATCAGAGAAGTCAGGATCAAAAAGCGTTTTTATACAATGCAGAGGATTAACCCCTTAGGTTCCACAAAGAGCATAACCAGCATGCTTTACCGCATATACAGACTGATTTTTACTGTTGTGGGTTTAGTAACACTTTAACTACAAACTTTCCTCCCTGGAGAAGAGGTGTTTTAAGACCCCTTCCACACGGGGCGGCTCCTTTTTGGAGTCCACTTGCTCAGTGGGGGGTTCTGTCTGCTGATCCCTGCTGAGTAAGCAGATGGCTGATCCATATCCATTCCACTTATGCAGAGTGGACACAGATGCAGCCCACTCTCCTCTACAGGTGGTCGGATGTAAACAGATGGCCTATCGGTTTAGACCTTACTGTCTTCCAATCCAATTTTCTAGATGGCTGGGGAACGGATCCCCATCCGTCTGTTTTACACCCACCAACATCCAATCCTATCCACTAAAAACAAACACATGTCTGTTTACACCCGCTGCTCCGTAGAGAAGACTGGAGGGTTCGATTGGGTCTGCCTGTAAAATGGATAGGCGGACCTGATCAGCCTGATAGTGTGAAAGGGGCTTAAGAGAGGATATGATCACAATATACACATATCTAAATGGTGACTGTAGCATTGGGAGAAAATGTTTTAATCTAATATCTCTATAGAAGACACTCAGCCTCACAGGTTGAGCAAGATGTGCTTCAGCCCTAAATTGCGTAAAGGGTTCTTCATTGTTAGTGCGGTGAGATATGGAACTCCCTTCCACAGTTAGTGGTATTAGTGAGGAGTTTAGATAAATTTAAATAACCTTTTTAGATGTGTTTGTTAGCGAATGCAGTATACAGGGATATGGAAAGGACCATAAACATGCACACAACATACACACACATATAGGTTGGATGGACCTGTATCTGTATTCGACCTTACCAACAATGTAATAATATATACAACTCCAGTCAAGTAAAAAAAAAACTTACCGAATATATGTGTTCACTTTTACATTTTAGTTCCAGATAAACTGTAGCTCAATTTACAAAATAGGTTTTGATTCAAAGTTTTATTTTATTCTTTCCTCATCTGAATGAGATCCTACAGCCTGCAATGGCCAGTGTTATTCTGAAAACACACAGAAACCTTTGTCAAAAGCAGGCTTTTTTTTTTAAATGTTCATTGATGACCACATTATTATGTAGATCTTTAATGCCAAAAGGTACATCCAAAACCCAAATGCAGACAGAGTTAAGAAGATATTCTTATGCCGTATTGTACCAGATTTTGTGCTTTGCTAAAGTTCTACTTCTACTCATGGAAATTGGTGCCATAGTTAGACATCTAGCATTCTGCCATGAGCAGTATTATATTGTGAGTTTTATGAATAGGATGCATTCCGTCGGAAATTCACAATTATTACCATCAACAGTCAACTTTGTGGTAAAACCTTGTTAATGGCGGTATTCATGATGTTCTTTTTCTTTCTTTACTGTTCAGATGTGGATGTCACGCGCACACCAGTCACTGCATTCTATCATGGCTGCATGACCATACGTGTTCAGCAGAAGACCTTGGACTTGGATGAAGCTGTACACAAACACAGTGACATCACCTCCCACTATGTCCACCCATTAAGTCTCTCAAATAAGTTTATTCCTCTCATTTTTTTTAACCAAATATCTTTTTTATATATATATATGTATAAATTATTCTGACTTTGCAGTATTGTGTGTATAGTTTCGTAAAACACTGAAATGATGTAAGACCTACTGATATTTTTTTTTTACACCATGTCAAACTGTTTAGGATAATATCACCCTCCCTGCTTTGTTGAGGAATCTGTCACTAAGCAAAATACCTGCATGAGAAGCTTCTGATGGATTCTGCATTCTCTGACCTCCATGTTGTATAATAGTGTCACGTTGGTAAAGCCGCTTGCAGTCCAAGAGTCAGAAAATACCAGTTTCCATCTGGAGTTTGTCACCCAGATGTTTTGCTTGCTGCATGATGGATACCCTTTTAAAGATTGTAATATATTGTAAATATTTCAGAAAACTAATATTAACAGCCAGAAATGTGCAGCAAGTGCACTGTGGACTTTTGTTAGAAAGCAACTGAGAACTGTGGTAAATTATGTTGTGGAAAAGATATGTAGAACTGGAAATTGTGTTATATATTTTTATTACCAAACAGTGATATTTTTTTTTTAAGCAACAACTTAAAATAAAAAACAAAACCTTTTAATAGCTTTATTTTTATATATGTTTTATATTTTACAATCATAGCAGTTTCCCAGACCTGCACTGTCAAATCATGAAGTATATTCGCCTGAAGGAAGTGTTCTTGCTGCCTTATAGCAGCCAAATTCTTGCTTTCCTGCAGTACGGGGGAGATTGAAAGAAAAAAATAAGGTTTACAGGTCGCACTGGAGGGGAGGACCTCTCATGTCTTGAACATATGTCCTGTAAACAGGCCAGGAGGCAGTAAGGCACTTGGGCAGCTAATCAAGAGAGCTCTGAAGGAAATATAATGAGAGAAAGAGCCTCTAAGTGCAACAGCCAAAAGTTTTATTCAACTAGAAACAGATTAAAAACACTTACAAGCATGTGCTGAAATATGGCCTATCAGCGGGATAAAATCATTAGGTGTGTCTCCCATCTAAGGCAGCAGCAACAGCATCCCCAATCCTCTTGGCCGGCTAGCAGCTCTGGATCCATAAGTCGGCAAAAAGGGGGCCTCAGCAACTTCTGGGACCAACATGGAGCGCAAACTGGAAGTGATGTCACGCCGCGAGGGGCAGTTACGCGTTTTAGAGGATGCCCAGTTCTCTTGTTTATCAAAATAAAACTTTTGGCTGCTGTACTTACAGACACTTTTTCTTATATTTCCTTCGGGAGATTGAAATAAAGAACCTGGCTATTTTCTCTGAACAATTCTTGTTTTGGGATTTTTGATTATGAAGCTTGGAGGCACTCAGGGAATACTTTGGCTTTCAGCTTGACTTCCATTTTTTTTTTCAGAGATCACAGGTGAAGTACTCAGTGTGGTTCAAGTGGCATGGCAAATTTGCCAGCAGCAGGATTGCAAAGACCTTCATCTACTTAAATGACATTGCTCAATTGCTACACCATACCAGTGAGGTGTCACTCCATTTTAGCTCTCTCAATATTGGTCCAAAGTCAATTGCCAAAGTGACATGGCTCTAAAGTTGACAATGTAAGTCTGCCCATTCTGGGCAAAGTTAACAGGGCTACCTGATCGCCCAGCTTCCAGCAAGGTATACTCACGCATCCACACTCCCTCGCCAACCCATTATTGTAATGGAGCAGGGCGTCTGAGTATAGAGGACGAAATGCTTAGGCCTGAGCATCTACTCGGCAGACAGGGTCACATGAGTGAGGCAAGTAATGTCATCCACAGAGGTAAACCAGAGTTTCATCAGGGTGGTTTTCTGCAGTGGACCTTTGTTTCACAGTGTATATCTAGCTGAGGGATGAGCTATCAAAAGGCACTATCACTCTGCCCTATGACCTATCTTACTAATACACTTGTGTTCTGTGAAAAAAACAGAAAAACATATTGCTCATAGCAATTGGTCCAGCTGTCATTATTTAAGCCAGGTCTTAATGCACAGTAGTTGGATTCTGCTTTCAGTAACAACGCCATCTTTCCATCCTTTAGAGGTCCCTGGAGAGCATTGGTCAATACAGGAAATGTGATCTACTATTACTGCTGAGAAATAAAGCAATATTCAGTTGCTGAAAGAACTGTGAGCATTTTAAAAGAAAACTAATATTTCTTAAACCTGCATGATATCACTTAAATTTAATGTGATACATTTAGCATTTTAACACATGAAAACCTGATGTAACAGTTCTATAACATAATATCACATCCAGGGCTGAAAGCCCAGACTGAAATCTGTTGCCAATTCTTTGTATATTATAGTCATTCACATGGGCCCATCTCATTACTGTATATGGACATGTTCCACCAAAACTAGCTTTAGTTTTCAGTGGGGATTTATACTTCTGGCATACCTGCAGACACACCATAAATCTGTATTTATTCACTGTCATAGAAAAAGCAAAGGGTTGATTTTCTAGAACATGGAACAACAAATCAAATTCCAGCTGTTATTCTTCCAGTGTATGACTAAAAGAGGTTTGACTGTGTCTTGCAGCATTGACACTTCTTTCCCCCAGTGTCCAATTTCAATTGTGACTTTAGCTGGCCATACTTTCAGATAATTGTATGACGGTGATAACAAATCACTTTAAAGCCAGTCATACACTGGTTGTTTGTTTTTTTTTTTCATTTGTTTTTTTCTTTTTAAGTTCAGGCTGTAGGTATACAGCAAAGATGGATCTCTGGATGAATATCTGGGTGTGCTTATTGTATTTTGATAATGGCTCCCAAAATATCCAAAGAGCAGCTGCTGATTTGATGCAGCCGCTTTTTGGCTGCCCAGCTCCTTCAATTTTTCAATCTAAGGATAGTGTCCGGAATCTCATACAGCAAGTGGTAATTTCAGTGCATCAGGTGCTTATTTCCATATGCAGGGTCATAAGCATAGCCCATAGCACAGGCCTTTGCGCACACGGGCGTCCCCACAGATTCTGGTATCCAGCGGCCTATTTAAACCTGAGATCTGCCTAGCCTCATTGCTGGATTGTCTTCATCTGTGGTTCCTACATTCCGAGTTCTTGAAAGCCTTACCTTGTTACTGACCCGGCTATACCTGACACCTTTCATTGGTTCAATAAACCACTAGGCATTGTATGAAAAAAAGAGAGAAGGGCTGGTCCCACAGCTGCTCCGATGACCATTAGGAGTGATGTGTGAATAAATAAAAACACGAGAACAGAGTGCTCATGGTGAAAGCTAGAATGATAAGGCGATGACATATCCAACCGACAACCAATATGTCCAAAACAAAGTGTTTAATAGTGCAATAAAAGCCAACAATGTAAAAACCATACTCCAGGAAATCCAGTGTAGTGATATGGCACTATGTAAAAACTGGCACAAGTCACGTACTGGTAAAGAGTAATGAGAGCAGCTAATTGCAACGATGACATGGCTATGGAGGGTCCTGATGATAAGCTCAATAGATGGAAAGGTTGGAGAATGGCAGCAGATGGTGATGTGTGAATCCACAAACAAATACCCTATGTTGTATCTCCCGAGAAAGCCACAGTGTCACAGAGGATCGGGCATTGAAAGTGACATCACAGCGTGCCAGAAGTGACCTCAGTGAAGCGCAAGGAAACCAGCAACAGCTACCATAGGACACTAAGATGGCGTAGGACTGGCCAAACAAACAAAAACATTATTATTACACTTGATTTCCTGGAGTATCGTTTTCACATTGTCTGCTTTTATTGAACTATTAAACTTTTGGATTTTGGTTGTCAGTTGGATATGTCATCACTAGAGATGAGCGAATCGAACTTGGCGAAGTGGAATTCGTTTCGAATATTAGGAAAAATTCGATTCGCACCGAATCCGAAAATTAGCAAACTTCGGATGCACGAATCGAATTTTTCCCGATCGGCCGATTTTCATCCCTTCTACAGCCGGCAAAAAGTGTCCCTGCAGAGAGCTCCGCTATTTCTGACAGTTCTCTGACAGTTCCTTCACATTTACAGCGGTTGAAACATTGTATCTATTTGTTTCCATTTAGGATACAGATGTTTTTATTCGGAAACAAATAGATACAATGTTTTAACCGCTGTAAATGTGAAGGAACTGTCAGAGAACTGTCAGAAATAGCGGAGCTCTCTGCAGATACACTTTTTGCTGTACTGGAATTCTTCTTATTTTCATCCTACTTCTTCTTCTTCTTCTTCTTCCTCATCCTCTTCTTCTTCTTCATCCTCTTCCTCTTCTTCTTCTTCTTCTTCATCCTCATCCTCTTCTTCATCCTCATTCTCTTCTTCATCCTCATTCTCTTCTCTTCTTCTTCTTCTTCTTCTTCTTCTTCATCTTCTTCATCCTCATCTTCTTCTTCTTCTTCTTCTTCTTCATCCTCATCCTCATCTTCTTCATCCTCATCTTCTTCTTCTTCTTCATCCTCATCTTCTTCTTCTTCATCCTCATCCTCATCTTCTTCATCCTCTTCTTCTTCTTCTTCTTCATCATCCTCATCTTCTTCTTCTTCTTCTTCATCATCCTCATCTTCTTCTTCTTCTTCATCATCCTCATCTTCTTCTTCTTCATCATCCTCATCTTCTTCTTCTTCTTCTTCATCCTCATCTTCTTCTTCTTCTTCCTCATCTTCTTCTTCTTCTTCTTCTTCCTCATCTTCTTCTTCTTCTTCTTCTTCTTCTTCATCCTCATCATCTTCTTCTTCTTCTTCTTCATCCTCATCATCTTCTTCTTCTTCTTCTTCATCCTCATCATCTTCTTCATCCTCATCTTCTTCATCATCTTCTTCTTCATCTTCTTCTTCTTCTTCTTCTTCTTCTTCCTCATCTTCTTCTTCTTCTTCTTCTTCTTCCTCATCCTCTTCTTCTTCATCCTCCTCATCCTCCTCCTCTTCTTCATCCTCCTCCTCTTCTTCATCCTCCTCCTCCTCCTCCTCTTCATCCTCCTCTTCGTCGTGCCCCGTGACTGCCCAAATGAGTGAAGTGTGCGGTGATTC